TCCTCGTTAACTATGAGATCATAAGTGATAGTAACTTACATTTTGCAATTGTTTTATGCAACTTGTATACGTTTCCGGTCATTTAGCCTGTTTCAGATCATTTACATTCTAAATAGTAGCAAATATGGTTTTCGGTGTGCCCTCTCTTCAATGGTACTGTGCAACACTTATCTACCATAGAGGTGATGATGAGAGAGTCCATCTGTCGGAGGAGCTTAAACCCAATGACTAAAATCTCCAAGAAGATATGACATTTTACTGTAAATCCAAAAGTCTAATTTGGAATTATTATTGACTAATTTCAGTCTGGCTGTGTTTAGGGTTGTACATCTGTACGCATGCACTTTTTTTTTTTTTTACATTCAGGTATATACCCACATACAGCTGCATCTAGCCATTGATTTCTATGGATGGTTGTAGGCAGCACCTAAGGTCCCCAGGCGGGAAATTCCACCCATATTTACATTACTTGGACTTAGGCACCTGTGTGCATGATTCAGAATACAATGAAGACAGCGGGAGATTCTTCAATCAGTGCTCGTAAGCGTTGATGGAGGAATTTGTTCAGTTTTTTTTCTTTCAGCCCGCAGGTTGAGTGAAAAAAATAGAACGGTGTATGGCCAGCTTTAGAGTCTTGCAAGGACTAAGGGGATTTCCAGTTGCGCCAGAGCTGGAGGGTCAGAGTTTGCCTACCCCTGCTTTAGAGAAAAGGTTGCTTAGTGCCAGCTGGGCATCATTCTTAAAACAGCTTCTCCACCTTGTGTGACTTGCCATAATAAGTATTCTAGTAGAGAACTTCATGCCAGACTTTCCTTTCTGTGATCTAATTAGCATGGGCCTCAGATCTTATAAAGGTTATTCAGTAGGACATGAAAGAAGAGCCTCATCCCACAGAATGCCACACTGTATATCACTTTTATTTGTGTGTTTACTGCTATAGTCCATCTTCTGTAGTGCACTAATTCATGTGTACGTGTATATACAGAAAAGCCGGACTATACCTCATTCATACAACTATAGGAAAGTGGAGCTATGGCCCTGAGAAACCTATTGGGTACCAGTTGTATTTGTCTGGTTGGAACCACTTCTATACACTGTTTTGTGTGAGTTTACTCACTTTGTTGTGATACCAAAACAATGCCAAGTGGACCTTTCCTCAAGCGTTACCTGAGAGCTATGTTAACATACTCACAGGGATGTGTAAAGCATTAATGCTAAAACACCTTTTAATTAAGAAAATGCTGCTCTAAGTTCCTTCAAGTACAACATTGATCAAGACCCATGCACTTTGTTTTTGTATTTTTGTTGAAGAAAGGGTCACAAAACCTGAGTGCTGATCCTCCCCTTCAGCAAGGATCACATGCAACCATTTTTGTGTCCCATATATGTTCTGTACATTTTTGATGCAGGCATAAACTTCCATTTTTGCTATGATTTGACCCTGTATAGTCTCGAAACAATGTGTGTGTGTGTTTTTCTGATAACCACTCTGTTAATTCATTAAACACTATTTAATATAAAAAATAATGTGCTGTTGGAAAACAATCTTTATAGGTTATGGGGTGGGAGGTACAGTGCAGACACATACAGCAATGGGTTATAAGGGAACGTAGGCCTGAACATTTTATTCAGTCACTTCACTTCTCCCCAAATATCTTCTGGTGGTGTCTGTTGGTGGCATTGTAACTGACATTACATTGTCTCCTAATCCATCTTAAATGGCCATATATGCAGGCTGTGGGCACCGAAAACAAATCTGTTCTTTGCCCATTCAGGTAACATGTTATGTGCTTTGGGGACCTCAGTGCCATTTATTGTGAATAACACCCAGCGTGCCTTCAAAACACGTGTATTGCTATACCATGTGCGGTGTCCCGTGAATGCTGCTGCGCTACAAAAATATGCAGCCTGTCCCCAGAGTTGATGTACATTTTAACCCATTAGCTTTTAAATGGCTGTGTACCACAGTGGTTGTCAAGGCCTACATTGCATAGCACTTTGTTCTGGTGTGAATAGACAACATATACTAACCATTATTTCTCTCTCCCATTGCTCTGATGGGCAGTGAGAGCTAAAAGAATTACCTGGTACTTCTGGTTATGGAGGAGCGTATGACTTGCAATGTAGTCCATAGCCCTGTGTGAACTACGACTCCCAAACACTTGCAGCTCATGGTGGACTTTACATTTGCTTTGCCCTGCATTGGCAAAGTACAGATTCATTTTAAGACCAGCTTTGGCTGCAATGCTTTAGTTTTCTATTTTGAATTCCTATGTTGAGATTTGTAATTAGAAGTACGTTTGTCGTCCCTCATGCCAAGTCTCTAACATCACAGTTTCCTTCTTCAGAACCATCTCTGAATGCAAACTTAAGCAGAGCATTCTAAATAATAAATGCTAGGTAAAGGCCCAGAGGAAAAAGCATGAAAATTCTCTCAACGTGGCCTAGAAAATGGGGGTGGGGGTGGCTTAGCTAGTAGATAACAAGGCTTGGGATATTTCATTGTAACCAAGGCTTGATCCTACCCCTGTGTGGAGTTTATTTTCCAGATAAGTGTAGCCTGAAGGCAGTTCTTCTCTGATTTTATCGTCCTTTATGGCAGCTAAGTGCTGTTGCTCTTTTGCAATTGCTTCCTATCCACATACATGTACTCCAGCAATATATACATTACATTTCTTGTGGATCTCCTAATGGTGACAACAGTGGACCATGCCTGCATAATGTGTGTAGACAACGGCTCTTGTAGTCTCAATTGGAAGAGACAGGGATAGAATGCGGTCACCCAATTAACAGGAAGTGCCTCAACATGGACCTTCATGGCCGCATTCCAGGTATTATTTTAATGAACTCTGCAGATTATAACATATTTAACATGTTAAAGCCTATATAAAATGTTGGCGATTTGGGTTTATATTTTAAAGTTTTAAAACTGGGGCCTTGCTAGGGACAAATCTGCAAATCTTTGGCTAGCCAGACATGATTTGGAATCAGAAAAATGCTGGCTATTCAGTCCTTGTCCTGCTGGTGTGTTTATGGTGTACACTTTGGTTCTGGAAGCTAAAGGAAATACCTGGTACCTGTGACTCACCCATGTGACAGTGCTGGACCAATCAGTATTGCTGTGGGGAGTTTTCCCCTATTCTGTTCTGGTGTCATGGGGCCAGGAAGTGATGGGAAGTCTTTGGTAGATTTTTCAGTATAGTGGGGAAAGGTTAGAACCTCTGTGAGGTTATTACTGACTGTGCCTTCCTGTCTATGTGACCCCCCCCTTCATGACATGTATTGATGCCACATTGATAAAAATTGAGGAAATATCTCCTCAATGGAGTCACCAACAAGTAAAAATCTGACCAAAATTTCACCCTTCTCTCATTCCATCCTTTTAATAACGAATAATTATAAGAAAAATAAAAAGGATAATAATAGAAAAAATGCCTGGAGTTGGGCTTCCAAATTTGAAACATTTTGTAAACTTTCCAAAAACAAACTAAAATTAACTGAAAATGATTATATTTTCTCTTTATTAAATTTCACAGGTCCTGTGTTTGGTAAGATTCCGGGTTCAGAGGCACAGTTATAAACTAGCACTCATACTGGACACTCAGACATCTTCCTCTTCTTTCTATTCTTCCATTACACTTCAAAGTTCTTACGATTTTGGTTTCTCTCTTTCCTATGTACTTGCGCTGGCAAGGCAGAATGTTGGTTTAATGTTACAAAATGCTTCAGTGAAGGAAGAATGAAAGGAAAATGAAAGGGTTCAGTCCTTGTTGTTTAGCCTATAAGCTGACCCTTTATTACAGGGCAGCCGTGAATTATAGTTTGGGAGGATATGGTAACTCACCCAGTGGAGTCTACACTATGGGCTACAAGCAGCAAGCCCCGGAGACATTAAATCGTGTAGAACATTCTTTTTTTTAAAAGCAGTACATACTGATATACACAACAAGTGAATATTTCACTGTTGGACTAATGCTAAAGCTACAGCTGGCACCCTGTGTAATATATGCAATGAAAAATAAACCTGCAGAGTGTACTAGACTGCTTTTGGCTCTTCCAATGTTGGCTCTTCACGTGATCTTTTCCTGGCTGGTCCCCATTATTCTCCTGAAAAAGGCTACCAGTGGTGGTGTCTGTTTACTGGAAAACCTAAAAGGAGTTTTAAAGTCACAACATATACTATCCTGGTATAACGTCAGCTCTGTCGTACGAATACACACTATAGGTTGGTTTTGATAATGCAATAGAAGCTTACATGGAAAAATCCCTTTTATGTAGTGAGTGCTGCCTTCTGTCTGCCCATCACTTTCACCAACTTCCTGGATTCTCAGTGTGCTTTGCGTCTCTTTCCCTGCTGCTTGATGTGATGCAGTCTCCATTTCTCAGGACTACATATCCCGTCATGCATTACTTTTAGCATGCAATGATAATGTTACATTGTTCAGAAGTTGAGTTGTAGTTCAGAAGGCAGGCTGTGTGACAGTAGTGATACAAGGCAGTACATATTTGCAGTGAAATTATGTCAGTGCATTGATGAAGTACATCCTATGGGCATCTTCAATAAATATACAGACTTCTAGATTAATATGGTTATTAGGAGTGGAATAGAAATTCAATATAGAAATATCTATTTTACGATTTTGACCCTAGCTTCCCTTTAATTTCTCATGCCATGTGATCCACCATGTCTCTGTACACATTATTTAAGAAGCAGTTCTTGATATTTGGAACTTTCACACATAAAATTACCTCTGTCTAGTGTTTAAAGTTAATCACCTGTTATTAAGTTGGGACCCTATTGTTACAGTTGTTTAGGTTGGCCATAGTAGGGCATTTGTTCCCTTTAACGGATGGAACGTTAACTACCTTCTAAGCAGCAACCATATTTGAATTGAAGTTCATAAGGCTAATGACTATTTTGTTGATGTATTACATAGCAGAGTTTGTTTTTTATATCTCATGCTGATCCTTTTTACTTAACTTTCACCTTTTTTGTCCAGATTCGGGTTTGGCGATATTTAAAAGGACGTGACATCGTGACAAATGAGATACTGCTGGATGGAGGCAACAAGGTGATGGTTGGAGGTTTTGGAGATCCCAGCATCTGCGATAACCAAGTGGCTACAGGCGATACACGGATATTCTTTGTAAATCCCGCCCCCCGCCACATGTGGCCCTCCCATCGCAATGAGCTCATGTTAAACTCTAGCCTGATGAGGATAACCCTGCGAAATCTAGAAGAGGTGGAGTCTTGTGTTGAAGGTAAGGACCATAAATTCTTTTTTGTGATTTGGTCAAAAAAGGTTGCTGCTACGCACAGCAAAATTCACAGCGTTCTTGGCCCGGGTGAAGATAAAACAAAGCCAACTGTATATGACCATTATAAAGCGCTTTGTATGTATGAAATGCATCACCTGTAATGTACAGAAACCATTATGTCCTTGGCTTTCACATTGGCATAGGCTGAACATAGAAATGTAGATCTTATGGACGGCCATCTTTGAAGCTGTCATGCACCCCATATGTGCCAAAACAACCTACATTGCATAGAGCAGCTCAGATACCTGGTGACGATACCACTGGGTCTAAAATAAGGTATGTGATAAAAACAAAAAACTTTAATAAAAAAATGTCTCTACTATGTTGACGGAGGAGGAACCAGGGAAGGTAGAATATAAGAAGCATATTATTCATGTTTAAGAGACTGCTCCTTTATATATTCCCATATTCAGAATCAGTAACACTACTTTCCCTACAACTGTCACTGATTTATTCTCCAGCTTTTTTTTTAATGTGAATATTGTGCCATCTATGGATACAATGACCTTCAAAAACCTGCAATCTGATTGGTTGCTTTGGATTACATGGTAACAATTACCTTTTTTATATTGTGTTAGTGAGAGATGCCCTATATATCATGTTGTCTTTTAAAGACCGCAAGTCTTACATTTGGATTTTGTTTCATTGTTTTGCTCTTTTTCATTTACTCCTCACATTTTCCTGACATTTAGACATCTCAGGAAGAAAGATGGCCTCTGTCACTGTAGTACCTGGAAAAGAATGTGAAGGTCATTGCAGAGGTCACAGCTCTATATCACACAAACAAACAAGAAAATGTGTATGTCTTATGAACACCTGTGTTTTATGTTGGTTTACCAGTTTCCTTAGTGACAGTTACCGATTACTGGTGTGTCTCTCACTTCCATTCCAGGATTTGTAAAACTCCGTCCCAGTTCTTCACTCTTGCCTTCTTCATGCATAATCCATAATGAGATATGTGTTGGTTGTACAGTTTTATGTATGCTAATATATAGATTTTTTTTTTTTAATCTGCACACCCATTTGGTATCTGGAAATTAATTTGTTTCACATTGAACTGCAGGCTGCCTTTAAAGCTTAGCAATAAAAAGTAATACATTTTATTAATGACACACAATATATTTGCAACCTGCAGTTTTTTGCATGATTGGCTGATTAGCGTATTTGCACTTTCTCAGCCAAATTGGGATAACACCTATTTTATATTTGTAACATGTTCCCATTTACATAGCATAAGCTACAAAGATATAAAAAAATGCTGCTTGTGGTTTAAGTTGATTTTTACTTGGGTTAGGGTTTCTTGGCTTCTTAAAGTGACATTGAAGGCATACCCTCCCCAATGCTGCTCTAAGCACTTACCTTATTTGATGCCTCTTGCTCCAATCATCTTCCTTACACTCATTCCCGACAGTCCCTCCAGCGCTGGTGCCGGTCTCTGATCCAGCGCAGACTCCTCGTGTCCCACAGTGTCTCTCCGACGTGCACGCTTCCGGCTGCCCGGCTGTATCCATGCATTTGAATTCTCTTTTCTCCCCTAGGTATTTGCCTACTTTTTTTTTTTTTTAAATAATGCAGCATATATATCTACTGCTTGCTAGCGTAGATATATGCAAAAACAAATAGGAGACTTTAATCCTACTTTAATGGTTACATTTTCTACTTGCCTCTCCTTTTTGGAATGTTAGGGGGGGGGGGGTGGGGAAGGAGGA